CAAGTCAGGCTTGGAGGATCATATAAATTAGTTTATTACCTATCTGGACGTCGAATCAACTCTCACTTATTTGTTTATAAGGAGAAAGTTTCGAAACGATGTATAGATATTGAATAAGAGCTGTAATGAAAGGTTAATAGTCGAGCTTTCCCACAATAATATGAATAGGTCTTACGGCGCCATTGCCTCGTCAAAAGGTATATGATTCATGCGGACCGAAGTTTTGACCTCGCCCTCATCAGCATCCCTAACGGGATTTGGACTTGGTTGATTTAGGGTATGTTTTCGACGTATTACCACTATGCTTCATGGTTACAGATGCCACTTGGTCTGATGGCAGCATAAAAACCTATGCTGTGAATATAAGTAAGCGACTAATTCTAAGTATAAGTATGTATAAGTAAATAAATAGTAGTCAATTGTAATGACAAATACAAGTTTGCCTCTTCAGCAGTCCCAGTATACTTGTGACATGGAAGTTTGCCCTGAAAGTCGTGTCTGTCCTGAACTCATCTGGCAACCATGACAAAGTGGCATGCCAGTAGCGTGCCGAAACTATACGCTGTATTGCGTGGGTTCAATTCCTGTTGAGGGGGCTGAGGGAAATCAGTCTATTTTCATCCATCCTGGAGGAAAATAGCTTTATGTAGGAAAGGCTAAATGAAGTTAAATGGAATTGTGAGGCCCACTCATAAGAACGTGGGAAAATTAATCTTTTAATACTTCCTTTTCTTATTAGACTGCTCAAATACTCATTCTTGGTTTAATTACTTGTTTACTTGGCTACTCAATTATTCGCACTTTTATTTGGTCATTTATTCATCCATTCAACCAACAAGCTACTAAGTCGCCTACTTAATGTTTTTTCAATAATTCATTCTTAGCATCCCAAACGTCGAATTATTTAATGAACTACTCATTTACTTCAATTACTCAATAAATTACCAGTTCGCCATTTGATCATCTATTTAACCACACCTCTGCTCACTACCCATTAACCTAATCACTTAATCACTATTTTTCTTATGTGCCAATTATATTAATCTGAACTCTTGTACTGTCATTTACTGCTTCGTCTTATCTGCCAACAAGCTATTACTATTCATTTTGGACGCCATCTCGTTCTGATATTTTTTAAATAGGTTTAAGGGGTGCATTTTGTCGGACTGTTGGCTTTTGCTAGAATGCTAATATAAACCTTTATTCTTCTACATAATTTCCTCAATTATTTTATTCGTTATTTATTAAATATTCTTTGTAATGAATATCCTACTTTCTTATAAATATTCTTTGTTATTTTTCATCTTTATATCATCAATTGAATAAGACCATGCCAAATTTATCTTTCCCTTCAGTTATCCACTCTTCTATCTATTCTAGTTTTCTGATATCAACCTTGATGGACCGCTGGCCGGTGCTCCAGTTAGCATAAAGGATAATCTTAGCATAAAGGTAATTTAGTTTGACTTGTACCCTTAGTGCATAAAAAGCACCTTTAATTTGATAGAATAACTTTTATTTCATTG